TGGCCTACCAGGCCAACTTCTGATCTGAAGTTGTTGTAATGTATTGCATGTTAGCCATGTTCACATAGCACCTAACAACAAGAAATAGCTTGATCCATGAAGTATGCCAATGTTAGCAGCCAGGTACTCCATGTTGATAGGATTTGTAGGGCATCACAAACAATGTTTGTATGTTAAAACATGTTTGTAATGTAGTAACACTGACTGTAAGAACTCAATGTCAATAAAAAACATCATAAAATCCATCCATCCATTGTCAACCGCTTATCCTGTGTACAGGGTCGCGGGGGGGCTGGAGCCTATCCCAGCTGACATTGGGCGAAAGGCAGGGGACACCCTGGACAGACTCAAACTGACTTGAAAAAAATAAAGCAAGAAGCTAAAGCCAAATGATCACAGAGTAAAAGTGAACCACCGTATTATTACTGACTATTGAGAAAGAGGACAACAAGGATCAACACTGCTTCTGTACAGCTGGGTTAGTCTGTTCACTATTATAATTGTTAAAAAGCAGAACAGTAGGGTTGTATAACGATACATTCAGTAGTAATGTTAGCTAGCATTAGCTAACTAACATTACATTAGGAACAATCCACAGTCTACGTTTTTCTGGATTTGTTTTAGGTTTTGGAAATAAAATAAATCGTACTTCTCTGTTCAACCTCTCTGGGTAGCGACTGTAACTATTACCAGTGCCCCAGGAACAGTGTTTGACCATATCTTGGAAAAATCCGGCCACAAAAAAGCTAGAAAACGACTCCTTTTGCATTAGCGTCAATGGAGCGCAGCCACAAAAGCGTCAGACCTCATTTAGAACTAGTCCTGTTCTGTGATTGGTCAGCTGCATATTCGGGGCGTGGCTTAGGGAAGGGTCAATTAATCTGCATGTCTTTAGATGATGGGAGGAAGACGGAGCAACGGAAAGAACCCATGCAGACAAGAACTCCGCACAGAAAGGACTTGGAATATGAATACAAATATTTAATATTTATATTTTAGATACATGTGTAGTATTTGTACACATAGCCTATGCACAGCACAATTCAGTATAAACTTTATAAAATGTTCTCTTATTGCAAGATATGATATATTTTCTGGTGGACATGTTTTACCTCATTGTCTACTCAAAGAGTCTAACACTCCATCTTGGCTACAACATGTTGAGTTAGGACAGAATGGAGTTATCATACTACATCCTAATAGGCAAATACATAATATGAAGTAACCGTGAAGAGGTTTTCATTTTCCTTTATTGTGATGTGTTATATACCTTTTTTGTGCATATAATAGGTTTGCAAAGTGAAAAAGCCCAAAGTCCACCTCAAAGGGAGTTCCCATCTCCCATAGAACATACTGCTCTGAGCTGCCTGAAAACAGCTCGTTTGTAGTCCAGCCTTTTTTTCCGCTACCATGTTGCGTCACATCATAACTGCCTGCCTACTGAACGTTAGACAATCAGTGACCATGAAGGTATTACTGTGATGTAGAGACACTGCACAGTTACAACATTATGTAAGAAAGATAAATGTGTGATGAATCAATAACTTACCACTCTGAAACTCTTGCTCCAGTCTTGGTTGCTAAGCTGGTTTGGAACAATGTTTATTAATGTACATTTTAATTCTGCACGGCAGAGTCAGCATTACATTTACAATTTATTCATTTAGCTGATATTTACAGTTGCTATACATGTCAGAGGTCACACACCTCTTGAGCAACGATAGGTTAAGTGTCTTGCTTAGGGACACAATGGTGGATAGGTCACAGAGGGACCTGAACCCAGTCTCACACCAAAGGGATGTGTCTTATCCATTGCGCCATCGCCACCCAGGCATCCTGAGTTCCACTTGAGGGAAACCAGACATGAAACGCCAACTCTGCACTGCAGAGTCAGTTTCTTTGTCCTTTGTTCTCAAGTCTAGGTTTCCACTTGAGGATAACCAGACATCATGAGATGTTCCTTAAAAGGTTGATTAGGTTGTCAGAACTGAATCATCCTTTGTTGTTTATGCTCAGTCCATTTTTTTTCAAGGAATTATCATTCAACTTTCAAGGCCATGTGAATGCAGGGGTTCTGAGGAGAAGTTCTCTGGAAAGATTTAAAATTCTTCATCACATCACCACCATCTTTATCTCACAACCCCTCTGACTAAGACATCCAGCAAAGGACTACAGATATATGAAGGATAGCTGATTGCTACACTATATTTAACAGTACTACATAAAATTCCAAAAATTGGGACTGCCAGAAGTAGTTCTATTTGAAGTATTGCTGTACGTTCATATTCAATTTAGAGTACAGGTGAGTGTTTGTATGGTACAGACTTAAAGCTCACAGGTTACAATAAATTCATAGATCATACTCCACAAATGTTCTCAGTACAAAAATTTAGCACCAGAGTGCACTGCAAGGCTGAGAAAAAATAAGTGGCAACAATGTCACATTTCATATTACTTTTAGCATTACAACACTACCACCACTGTACACTCATATGTACCAATTTGTGGAGGTCTAACCTGGCAGTCATAAAGAAGCAGGATAATGTGTGTGTGTGTGTGTGTGTTTATTAGGCCTGGAATGATTCATCGATTAAATCGATTACTAAAATGCATCGACGTAAATTCTTTGCATCGATGCATCATTTAATCCATATAACTATATAGCACACTGTTTTGCACGGACATTTATAACTGTCGCACATTACACTGTCAACACGAGGTGATTATGATGGGTGATTATGATGCCGCTGTTTGCAAAGTGGAGGAAGAGAGAGAAAATAGCGAGGGACAAAGAAGAAAGTGTCCAAAGTATGGGATTATTTCAAGCTAAAAGGAGCTAACAGTAAATGTTTCAGGCCCTCCACCGTAAAATGAAACTTGTGTCACCTCAGCAACAGCAAGACGGCATCTGATCAGAAAACACCCGGTGTTCTGCCAGTGGACCACAAACAAGGTCACAGTAACAGCAACTTTAGCATTAAACTGAAATCATGATTGATTGTTGAGTTGAAGCCAAAGTAAGTCGCAGACCTCAGCTGAAAATGTACACGTGCGATTGTTCTCCTTTTTGGACCGTGAGTCATAATCTCACAGTCATGAGTTAACTGGGTGTCGGGACCTGCACCTTTTTACTCACCTCCAGGTCTCTCTGTTGCTCAAACAATCCCTGCTACCTGCGTGTGCTAATCCATCCTTTCACTCATATACTTTGTCTTTATAATTGTTACCTTTATTATAACAAACAGCTGTTTCGTGTACAGGATCGCTCATTTCCCGTTTTTATATTTCACATGTGTTTTCTTGACAAAATGTGGTTTGGAGACCAGTGTCGGGTGACAGAGCCGCTGTCAGCTCGTGTAGTGCGTGACCCCCTGTCACCGATCAGTCACGTAGTGTGAACGCCACAACGACTTCAAGACTCCCGTCACATGGCGGCAAGTTGTGTAGTCAGAACAGCACGGCCATCGGCTGGCCTGAAAGTCGTGTAGTCTGCACAAGCCTTTAGTATAACTTGGATAGCACTCGGGTGATGTTTGTGCTCGTAAAGCAGTTGTCTGGTTGTTTGTCTGTTGATGTTGGTCTGATGTTTGCTGTATGACACATTATGAATTTACGAAAGGACCAATAAAAATCTATCACAAGCAAAAGTACTTCTTAAACGACGAATCGATGAATCGTTGAAATTATCTATAGAAGCTTTGAATACTAAAATCATCGTTATCTGCAGCCCTAGTGGCAAGTGGATAACACTCTTGCCTTTGGTGTGAGAAACCTGGGTGTGATTCCATCTAAGTGCCAGTATCATTACCCTTCATGCAGCAGGTCTAGGGGTTATTGGGACATGAAAACTTTATTTAAATTTTTTGGGGGGATAAAAGTGACTGCCAAATGAGTAAATTTACATGGAAGAGAAAAGTTCTTGCTGATGAAAATAGCAAAATTCGAAACAAAATCCTTAATTTCGTTTTGACACTTGTGTGAGGTGTTTTTTGCCTTTGTCAAAAAAAGAGTTAACGAGCTAAATGGGAGATGGAAACACTTTTGCCGATTAAGTTCTGACGTAGCAAACTTGTAACTCATGTCTGATCAGCTGTTTCCGCTGTTGGCGTCATGCTGGATATTACCATAACGTGCGGAGACATGGCTGGTAGCAACTTGGCCACTTGATACGCATACGAGAGAGGCCCTCTCTCTATTTTTTGAAAGAGCAGTGACCATCATTTCCATGAGTTAATTTTTTTCTGGTCCAACACTCACGTCTTGTTTATTACAGCTATGTGTAACGTCAACTACTGACGTAACTACGCTTGCTAAGGATGCACCGAATGTTCGCCACCGAAATTAATTGGTGGAAAATTTCACAGAACAATTATGTTGACATGTCGGCAGTGTGGAAGCATTTTAAAGTGTCTGAGAAAGACGCAAGATTTGCTGTTTACAGACACTGTTCTGCTGAATCGTCTCCTTGCACATCCACATCATCTGTGGCTGACTTTATAGAGAAGGCAAGAAACGGTCTGACCCGCTTCTCATTTCTGAGAGGGCGATTAAGCTAGCCGCACCTAAATTTGTAGTGCAAACGTATTCAAGCCTTTATGGTAAATCCACTGAAACGGACCAGTACGAGCTGACGGGCAGGTTAACAACTTTATCCTGTCAGTGTCTCTCTTTACAAAGACAAGTGTTGTCCTAACTGAAGAGAGGCTGTGAAGTCTTCATGTTACGCGATACAAAAACAGATACAACATTATTTATCAAGTTGGGCCTCAGACCCACCCACCATAGTCTCTTCAAAAGTAAAGTAAAAAGCACATTTTGGCTATTTAATTTCTGAAATGGTAAAAAAAACAAAATCAGCGAAATAAATGGAAAAAATGTGTATGTACTTGTTCGGTATTCGGTACATTTTTTTCATTATATTCAGTTTTGGCTTCGGCCAAGAATTTTCATTTCAGTCCATCCCTTACGCTTGCCATATCGTTTATTCACTCCAAACCAGCTGATGGAAATGCACCTATTTCACATTTATTTTTTTAAATTTTCTGCGACATTTCAAATGTCTGGTTTAAATTTGCATGACAATTTAATGGAAACTGTACTTGAGTTTGTTAACCCTGAGAAGAGTGAAATACTGCATCAAATAAAAGCATCAGCTAAATCTGTAAATGCCAATGTAATGTGTCTCTCCCTCTCCTCTCGCACCATGCACATGCAACGGTGTGACAGGTGAGGGAGAGACTCTGTGCTGCTACCAGGAGAGCCACTGATTGACATTACTCTCATGCTCAAGCTCATGATTCACATTCATATTGAATATTTTAACACAAAAAAAGACCAATTGCTAAAGACAAAATACCTGTGAACTAAAACGCAGTGGACTCGTAGTAGAGAATGAGATCTGTTAACCCTGCATGTTCCTAATACATTGACCAGACACTGACGGACAACAGTGGTTATATTTACATGTTTTTAATTACAGTTATTGCTAAGGACAACTCAGTAGTCACTGAATATTGGTAGAGACATGTCCCTACCAAAACAAGACCTTATAGGAGACCATGAAGGAGTCACAGTAGGCATGTAGCATCTGGTCCACAGGGCTGTAGTTCAGGGAATAAATGTTGGGAGACATCTTGTTGATGAAAACTCCAACGTTGAACCTTTCTACCCCCGTCGTGGTGTCAAATGCATAGAAGATCTCCTCCATGGTTTTGTTGACATACCGTGTTGCGTAGAGCACGCCACAGGCCATGAAGGTGTTGGTCACCCCCTGCTTGTAGACCGAGGTGTGCCAGGTCTGGCCAAGAGTCATTGGTTCATCCTCCTCCACCTTGGACAGCACCAGGTTGCCAAAGTCCTGGCTGGTGGTATAGATCACCCAAACACCTGACTCATCTGTTGCCAGGTCCAGGTCAGTGAACGGGTAGCATTCCTCAAGGTGGCAGAAGTTACCCTTTGAGTTAAACCTGAAAACAAAACAGACGACAGAAGTGATGTTTCCTTTTTAGAAATGAGAACTTGGAAAACAATGTATCAGCATCTTAGTTTCATGGACTCATTATGCTTTGCTTTGGCACATTCATAATTTTACGTAATCTTTTACAAAAGTTGATTCATACATTCAAATATCTGATTCTGATTTGATCAGCGAACCTGGTGCCTTTGGGTAGTTGTAAGTTGGTGATAGTTTTGGTGGTAAGGTTGAATCGACAAACAGCATCTAGGTTGTAACAGTTGTAGTACAAGGCCTCTCCATACAGCACAATATTCGGACCCTGGATAGTGTTGGTGGCTGGGTTAGAGGAGTGGATCTGGACATTACCTGGAAGAAGAACAAGAAGAACAAGGAGGATAAACATAAGGGGGAGGACACATCATAAGTATTGTTATCATTTCTTAATATTAAAAAACACATTCAATAGTATTTTGGGCAACTTGCTTTTTGAAGAAGAAGTCTGGTGATGTCCAATATTTTTTGAAAAGACCCAAATCAAGAGTGAATTCATTTTGGTTGTGCCTCTTAAAAAAAGCGAAATAGATACAGTATAGACACCTTGAGTAGGAATCAGTGGGCCTTTTGTGTTTTCCCCATGTAAACAATCAGTAACACAAGTAATATTGCAGTTGTGATTTTTGTAGGTGTTTGTATACGTCCAGGGGCAATTAGTAGAATTTTTATTTTTGAAACGGCTAACCACTGTAGTGCTGATTTCCCCACGCTTTGAGCATATAAAAGAATAGAAAATCTGCCCCCCACCAACCCTTCCATTTCAGCATGATTACCGTAATTACCAGATAAACTTAAAAGGTCCCATATATTGAGATTTCCACCCTTTTTTAATTATTAAGTAGTTCTAGGTGCTATATAAATACAGGTGCTGGGCATATAATTAGAATATTATCAAAAAGTTGATTTATTTCAGTAATTCCATTCAAAAAGTGAAACTTGTATAATGTAAACATTCATTCCACAAAGACTGATATATTTAAAGTGTTCATTTCTTTTAATTTTGATGATTATAACTGACAACTAATGAAAACCCCAAAATGAGTATCATGGGGAAGACTGCTGACTCGACAGCTGTCCAAAAGACGACCATTGACACCTTGCACAAGGAGGGCAAGACACAAAAGGTCACTGCTAAAGAGGCTGGCTGTTCACAGAGCGCTGTGTCCAAGCACATTAATAGAGAGGCGAAGGGAAGGAAAAGATGTGGTAGAAAAAAGTGTACAAGCAATAGGGATAACTGCACCCTGGAGAGGATTGTGAAACAAAACCTTTTCAAAAATGTGGGGGAGATTCACAAAGAGTGGACTGCAGCTGGAGTCAGTGCTTCAAGAAGCACCACGCACAGACGTATGCAAGACATGGGTTTCAGCTGTCGCATTCCTTGTGTCAAGCCACTCTTAACAAGACACAGCGTCAGAAGCGTCTCGCCTGGGCTAAAGACAAAAAGGACTGGACTGCTGCTGAGTGGTCCAAAGTTATGTTCTCTGATTAAAGTAAATTTTGCATTTCCTTTGGAAATCAAGGTCCCAGAGTCTGGAGGAAGAGAGGAGAGGCACAGAATCCACGTTGCTTGAAGTCCAGTGTAAAGTTTCCACAGTCAGTGATGGTTTGGGGTGCCATGTCATCTGCTGGTGTTGGTCCACTGTGTTTTCTGAGGTCCAAGGTCAACGCAGCCGTCTACCAGGAAGTTTTAGAGCACTTCATGCTTCCTGCTGCTGACCAACTTTATAGAGATGCAGAATTCATTTTCCAACAGGACTTGGCCCCTGCACACAGTGCCAAAGTTACCAGTGTCTGGTTTAAGGACCATGGTATCCCTGTTCTTAATTGGCCAGCAAACTCCTCTGACCTTAACCCTATAGAAAATCTATGGGGTATTGTGAAGAGGAAGATGCGATACGCCAGACCCAACAATGCAGAAGAGCTGAAGGCCGCTATCAGAGCAACCTGGGCTCTCATAACTCCTGAGCAGTGCCACAGACTGATCGACTCAACTAAGTATTGAGTGCTGTTCATGCTCATACTTTTCATGTTCATACTTTTCAGTTGGCTAACATTTCTAAAAATCCTTTTTTTTGTATTGGTCTTAAGTAATATTGGGTTTTTCATTAGTTGTCAGTTTTAATCATCACAATTAAACGAAATAAACATTTGAAATATGTCAGTCTGTGTGTAATTAATGAATATAATATCCAAGTTTCTCTTTTTGAATGGAATTCTGAAATAAGTCAACTTTTTGATGATATTCTAATTATATGACCAGCACCTGTACTGTGAAATTACCAAAACACACAATCCATGGAGAAATGTACAAAGCCCATATTCAGAAACTGTGCCTTAAACGAGCCGTCAGGATTCAAAGATTCAAGGATTCATAAGGTTGTGATGTCACAGTCACCGCTCTCAGCCATGCCCCAACCTTTTTTTCCCCAACACAACACCAACTGCTCATTCCATTGCTGAGCTAGAGATGGAGTTTGTCTCGCAGAAAGTGCTTTAACGGTTATGAAGGAAAGTTAAATATATTCCGGTTTTCCCTCTGTGACTTACGTATTTTCCTGATGGACAGATAGCTTTACTTTTTGCAAACATTACAGTAACCACTAACTACTGCAAACTGCAGATTCAACTATCAGCTGACTCTGCCCATATTGGGTGCTCCCAGCGGTCCAAAGCTCCTGTTCTAGAGGTGGAAACACCAACATACCCTCCAAGCATAAATCTTTTTAAAGCATGTGAATAAATCCAAGATTGTAACTTTTACCCTTTGGGAATGGTGGTCAGTGTGCATGTGTGGGCGTGTGTGATAAGAGGAATGAGAGACAGAGCTGCATGCAGAGTTCCCACCTCGTGGGACGTTCGAATCATTTATGACACTGTACATTTCCAGCTAAACTGAGACTTAATTTTTACCCTTTTCTCTCTGCCCTGCTCGTCTGCCATTCATCGGTCTTATGCAGAGTTGTGCATGCCCGCAGAGAATTGCATGCACCTGGTGGTTCCTCGCAGGTCTATAAGTACTGTTAAAAATGATATAATATTCTTTGTGCCGTTCTTCAGTGGTGATAAATGAATTAAGTGTCCGGCAAGGTACACGCACAACTCGGCACAACACCGGCACAGCGGTGCTGTCTCTTCTTCTTATGCATACACACACACAAACACACACACACACACACACATGGTACGCTTACAATTTTGTATTTATTCTTATACTTTATAAAGATTTATTAAAAGCTTCTTTCTTTTTACATCTTTTTTTACAGCTTCACATGTTGATATTTTTATCATAATAGGCATTATTTTATCTTAGTGGGAGAAAACCGGTAGTTCTATGTAAAATCAGATGTTGAGCTTCCCCCATATAGCCAAAATGGAATGATCTTAGTTTCATAACTCCTCTGCGAAGATTCAACTGTGAGATTGGCAAACGAATCAGGCTCTTTCTATCGAAGCATTGAATCTTCGACTATTACTAGACAACCAAATAAAAAAACCTGCACACTGAGCTGAAAGGTTGTACATTTCTAACATTAACACTCAAACTAGAACACAAGAGTTCTTTACCTGGAATGCTTAACCCAACAATGAGAGAGCTCAGGCTAGAGTAGAGACGGATGTAGTTGGCATATCTGTTGCTGGAGGTCAACATTACCAGCCAATACCAGCTCTCCTTCCCCGCCTCTGGTTTGGGATCCCGACCCCAGGCTCCATACTTGTAGGAGCCAGGGTACTCTCCTGCTGTGTACACCCTCGGGCCAGTAATGTTCTGAAATTCACCGTGGGGACATTTACCTTGGGGAAAATATGAAAAGAAGCAGAAAGAAAGAAATTGTGCAAATGGGGGGGAAACCACATCTAGTCAAGCGAGGCGTCCACTGGTATAACTTCCTATATCCATAACTTTCTAATTGAGGTGACTGGTGCTGAGAGCTTCCTGGGGGGCTCAGGTAAAATATACAACTTATTATGAACACAAATAAGATCAGGTCAAGATCAAGTCCAATCATCTTCTGTTGGTTTCTAAATCCTAAGTGAACTATACAGACTTTTATTATTTTTTTTATCTATCTGGTGGTTTACAGTGGAAGTTAACAAAAAGAAAGAAAGATATCTTCCCGTTTGTATGTGGTGTGGTTTTTGGGACATACTGTGTGGAGGTTGAGTGGGTTGGATGGTGGGGTGAAATCCATTCTTGCACTGGTCCAGGTCTCTCTTAAGACGGTGGTTGTCTTCTAGTCTTTTCACCACCTGCATGGTGTCATATGTCTGTAGCTCCTGCATCTCTGCACTAAGGTCCTCGAGCTGAGAGACAGCAGCATTTTTTTATAAATATGAATGCCCTTGAATGCAGCATTACATGTTATTTGACAACTGGAATGGCTCATTCATTGATAAACAATGTACATTATTCATTATTGATATGGTAATCGTTTTTCAAAATAAAATGGGTTGGGACTGCTGTTAAAAATGCAAGCTGGTAGTCAGAGGATAATGTTAGTTGCCTCGTATAAAGATGTTGTTTCTATACCTCTGTGATGAGTTCTGAGTGATAAATTTAAAGTCAACAGAGGGCTCTGCACCAGTACACTTCTATGTTTTGGCTATATTTTTATTGTGTAATTTTTATTGTTTTATTGTATTGCCAAACTTAATACTTCACTTGCACATACATACAGGCACAAGCGGACATGCAAACTCTCATGCATACAGTATGTATACATATGTACACTTCTTGTAGTTCAATATTAGTACTAGCACTAGCAGCAATATTTACTGCTTGTGATTTGTACGTGCAAGTCTGCATACAGGATGCAGTTCACTATTTGCTTCTCAAATAAATTGCCCTTCATGATGGGAATAATAAAGTCTGTTTCTATAGATGTGATTAATGGCCATAATTCAATCTAAATGAACGTATCAAACTGGATTATTTTAATATAGTCTGTAACTTACATGCAGGCTGAGGTATGCTGCTGTCCAGCATCCAGTACATACAGGCAGGTGGGTTTTATTTTTATTTATTTCATAATGATCATTATGTGAGAAAATAATTTGTGAGAAAGAAATATTTCATTGTCTTTTTTGTTATGATAAAGAGAGCAAAAGAGAAATCCAGACTCCCTGGCATGATGCTATGCCTGCCATGCTGCTCCCCTTCTTCACTGGGACAGGGAGGCTACAGTTATGTGGAGACTGGGGTGCTGCTGACTCATCTGTTGTTAGTCTGCTAAAAGGGGCAGGGACAACAAGTTAATATGAATCTCTTGCTAAACGTTTCCCTGAACTGATTAAATGTTGATGAAATGTAGTCTAACACTAGTCTGTAGCTGGCTAGCTTATTTCACTGTGGACAACAGGTTAACACCACTCACAGACTAAAGGCTGCCCACCTTTCTTGGGGAAAAACTGGGTTCCAGACTGACACCCTTTCCTTTGTCTTGACTCTCTTTCCTTTTTTGAAAACCAGATTTTGGTTTACTAGGCAACATTGTGTTCACTGTATTTCTGCTGCATCTACTGACTGCATCTAAACACCATCACTGATGTGTGCGCTAAGGCAGGACCAAACCAAGATACAAGGGAGTGGTCGGTCAATATGGATGTTTAGTTTTTGGTCAATCTTTTACTGCCAAAAACAAGTAAAAACAAAAGAGATCATTCATTTTATTATATTTGAAATATATTTATACTCAGTGATGATGATTTATATAGTGTATAATATAATTTAATTAGATATTAGTTTATAATTATTTTTGGGGCCCCTGTCAGGGGCCCTTGGAATTGTCTTTTAACGACCCTGCCCCATATAATAATAATAATAATAATAATAATAATAATAATAATAATAATGATCTTTATTTGTAGAGCACTTTTCAAAAACAAGTTACAAAGTGCTTTAACAAGTGTAAAGACAATAATACCCAAGAGAAAATAATACAAAAACAATACAAGATAAAAGCATGAAAACATTGAAAAGACTAAAATACAGATAAATATAAAATTAGTAAAATACAGGGATAAAATAAAATCAAATAAGATCGGGAAAGGCTCTCCTATAAAAGTATGTTTTAAGAAGGGGCTTAAAAGAGTTCACTGACTCAGCCGACCTGATTTCCTCGGGCAGGCTGTTCCAGAGCCTCGGGGCCCTGACAGCAAACGCTCTGTCCCCTTTAGTTTTCAGTCGAGACCCTGGAACAGACAACAGACCTCTGCCCGAGGATCTCAAGGTACGTGCTGGTGCGTATGGGACTAAAAGGTCAGAAACATAACAAGGCGAGAGGCCATGAAGAGCTTTAAAAGTGATCAATAGAATTTTAAAGTCAATTCTAAAACATACTGGGAGCCAGTGTAATGAAGCTAAAATAGGGGTGATGTGGTCATATTTCTTTGTTCTGGTTAAAAGCCTGGCAGCTGAGTTCTGGACAGTCTGAAGTCGATCAATAGATTTTTGGGTTAAATAGGTGAAAAGGCTGTTGTAATAATCCAGGCGTGATGAGATGAAGGCGTGTAAAATGGTCTCGGTGTCCTTAAAAGTTAACATAGATCGAATTTTTGCTACATTTCTAAGTTGATAAAAACATGATTGAACAAGCTTTGTGGTGTGCTTCTCGAAACCAACTATCAAACCAAACACCAAGGTTCTTTGCCACAGGCTTAATGTGATTTACTAGCGAACCAGCAGATGGCAGTATTTGTATTTGCCATCTGCTGGGACCTGATGACTTTGTCTGAGTTCAGCGCCCATGGCTACATTCGCCATTACTAGCTTAACAAACAAATCTCCGACTGAAGTTTTTGCAGTTAGAGTTGCATTGCAGGTAATGTAGGCACCATGTTTTGACCAGGAAGAAGAAGAATTTTTTGTCTCTGACTGGAAATGTAAAAGGTGCAAGTGTTCCAATAATAGTGTACTGGAAGAAATGACTTTTAAAGCCAGACATCTAGTAGATTGCATGGTCATAACTCCAAGGACCAGTGCAGTAAAAGTCTTATTGCTACTTAAAAACATCATACTAGATATTTATATGCCTAAGTTTTGCTATGGATACCATAAATAAATCTACATTTTGAGCAGACTTGCACACAGGCGCTGCCTTCTTGAATGGTGTCAGTGTTGAACAGCTGGTGCTTTGTGAGTCTACCTGTTTAGTGGTGTCAGCAGTCAGACCCTGGTGTGCCTTGGTGGTGCTGTTGAGCCTGTCAATGAGCTGCTTGATCTCCATCAGTTCATTCTCTATCACATACAGGCTGAGAACTGCGTAGAGGTCTCCGTCATCCTCCCTCTCCAGCATCGACACATCTTCCTGCAGCTGGGGCAGACGTCGCTCCAAACCCAGCAGCAGAATCTCCAGCTCCAGAGTCTGCAGAGAGAGCAGGTAGACTCTGTGTTCACACATGAATGCATGCATATAGGAGTCTGTTTTTGTTTTTCAATTTTTTATAGTTTTACAACTGTTGAGTTTGTGTTCTTTACAGTCTGGTTTAGAAAATAACACTGTTAACTAGTTACCTTCTGTGGGGTGATGTTGCTGTTGCATTTTGATGCATTGCCCTCCACTGTGCTGAGTTTGTCATGAGGGAATGCCTTCTCTGAATTAGTCAACTCACACGTACACTTATCTTGTGAAAATACCTGTCAAGAATATCAAACATGGCATGTCATAATAAATATTAAATACCATATTTAAATATATCTATGTTTGAAGTGGGCAGCGACCTTTGTAATGAAAGTCATTTTGAAAAAGGAACAATAATCTTTTTAAGTGTTTTCATACCTGTTGGGTGATGGTGAACAGAGCACACAGTGTAACGATCACACGCAGCTTCATGGTGGGTCAGAGGGCAGCACTGAAACCGTCCCTGAACTCTGTTTGAATATGACAGCGTGTCTGACTGCTGGCAGCAGTTTCTAACTTGTGAACACTCCCACTAACCTCTGCATGTGAGTGGGTGAATGAATGTGCATGTGTGTGATTTCAGAAAGTGGTCTCTTCCACTTTGTGGTTGGGATTGCGGCAACACAGGAAAGTTTAAAGTTCAGATGTGAGTGGATGTGTGAATCCAAATGTGGAAGGGAAGCAGGGACTAATATGGAAACATTTCTGATCTGGAGTTTGCAGAAATTCACACACGTTATCTGTGTTGAAATATTCAGGAACTGAAAGTGATCACCCAGCACTGACCACACAAAATATCTGATGATGAAATTCTGGACTAGTCAGTCAAAGATCAAGTCCTTTAGGGTCATAAGTACAAAAATTAATGTGAAACAGTTTTTGGCAATGCAATTCTTAGATCTCAAGCTCCCTCCAACAATGCTCAAACAAATCTGTATTTATTAAACTGGTAAGTATAATGTAATTAGAATTTAAGACATTAGTGCAGTAGCTAACATATGTTATATGTTTATAAAATATAAAATTGCAGTAGATTGGTGTACAGTAGTAGTAATATGTATAAACTAAACAGGTTGTGCAGTATTGTAGTAAATGGACTGTATATACGTAGAGATTATACACAAGTATATATATATATATATATATATATATATATATATATATATATATATATATATATATATATAGCTCAGTGGTTAATGCCACTGACTTTGGTACAGGTGATCGTATCCAGGTATCCAGGTGGACCCTTAGGCAGGGTCCTTAATGCTACCAGCCTACCTCAGGCATGAGTGAAACCGCAAATAAAAGAGCCATACCGGCTCGGACGTCGCTAACAAGGTCCGCGTCAGGTTTTTGTACCTGATGACAAATGGGCTACTGGAACAAGACATTCATGGACTAGAGCAGAAAACATGGATCTGATGCAATGCTACTATACAAGCGATCCCAGTGAGAGGGGTTATATGACTATGGGATATATGGATGCTTCGAAACCCATCATCAACACTGACAAAGAAACAACTTCTAGCTCAGTGTTCTAACATCTGCAAACTGTAGCTCCTATCACAACTAGAGATTGATGAGGTACAACAAATATGCTACGGCAAGGGGGAGCCAGGACGACAGGTCAGCGGGGAGATAACTGCACTCCATGAACGCCTGGCAGCACAAATGAACCAACTGCTGATGGATGGGACCCACCCAGAATGGTTAACCCAAGGACGGACAGTCCTGATCATGAAGGACCCCCAGAAGGAAACAATTCCATCTAACCACCGGCCAATAACCTTCCTCTGCACAACATGGAAGCTCCTGTCAGGCATCATAGCGGCTAAGATGAGTAGGCACATGGCTCAATACATGGACAGGGCCCAGAAGGGAATGGGTAGTAATACCAGGGGAGCCAAGCACCAGCTACTGGTTGATAGAGCAGTCACTTGAGACTTCAAGACCAGGCAGACCAATCTGTGCACCGCCTGGATTGACTACAAGAAAGCCTACGACTCAATGCCACATACATGGATACTGGAATGCTTGGAAATGTACAAGATCAACAGGACACTAATAGCCTTCATCAAGAACTCAATGGGGCTGTGGAAAACAAGTCTGGAAGCCAACTCAAAGCATATTGCACAAGTCACCATCAAGTGGGGCATATACCAAGGTGATGCACTATCCCTGCTGCTGTTCTGCGTAGGCCTGAACCCCATCAGCCAGATCATCACAAAAACTGGCTACGGATACCGGTTCTGAAGTTGAACAACCATCAGTCACCTCCTCTACATGGATGACATCAAGCTGTATACCAGAAATGAGCGAGACATCGACTCACTGATCCACACTACCAGGATCTACAACATCTACCTTGGGGTGCCACAGGCTAACGGAAACCATGAGGAGGCAGCAAGGAAGTCCGCCACAGCCAAATACCTACAGAGAGTAAGGCAGGTCGTGAAAAGTCAGCTGAATGGGAAAAACAAGATCGAGCCATCAACACATACGCCATGCCAGTCATCAGATATGCCGCTGGTATAATAAACTGGCCAAAGGAGGAGATAGAGGCGACTGACATCAAGACAAGAAAGCTCCTCACAATGCACGCTGAGACTGTACACCAAGCGTAGCGAGGGAGGCCGAGGGCTAGTGAGTGTCAAGACCACTGTCCAGGATGAAACGACAAAGATCCAGGAGTACATCAGGAAGATGGCCCCCAAAGATGAAGGGCTTAGTGAATACCTCAGGCAGCAGAAACCCGAAGGTGAGGACAAGGAAGACGAAGAACCTTCATGGAGGGACAAGCCGCTGCACGGCATGTACCACAGACAAATAGAAGAAGTGGCTGATATCAAGAAATCCAACCAGTGGCTGGAAAAGGCTGGACTGAAGGACAGCACAGAAGCACTAATCATGGCGGCACAAGAACAGGCACTCAGTACAAGATCAATAGAGGCTGGGGTCTACCACACTAGGCAGCACCCCAGGTGCAGACTGTGCAAGGATGCCCCTGAGACAGTACAACACATAACAGCAGGGTGTAAGATGCAGGCAGGAAGTGCGTACATGGAACGCCATAACCAGGTAGCTGGCATAGTGTACAGGAACATCTGCAATGATTACGGTCTGGAAGTCCCAAGGTCAAAATGGAAGACACCTCCTAAGGTAGTTGAGAATGACCGAGCTAAGATCCTGTGGGACTTCAAGATCCAGACTGAAAAACTGGTGATGGCTAACCAACCAGACATCGTGTTGATCGACCAACAGCAGAAGAAGGCTGCAGTGATAGATGTGGCGATCCCAGGCGACAGCAACATCAAGAAGAAGGAACACGAGAAGCTTGAGAAATACCAAGGGCTGAAAGAGGAGCTAGAAAAGATGTGGAAAGTAAGAGCAACAGTGGTGCCAGTGGTAACCGGAGCACTGGGGGCTGTGACCCCCAAACTGGGAGAGTGACTACAGCAGATTCCAGGTAAAACATCAGAGGTCTCTGTCCAGAAGAGTGCAGTCCTAGGAACAGCTAAGATACTGCGCAGAACCCTCAAACTCCCAGGCCTCTGGACCCGAGCTTGAGGATGACAAATACCACCCCGCAAGGGGTGAGAGGGGGGATTTATATATATATATATATTAGGGTGCCACTCAAAATTAAAGTTTTTAATTTTATCTTCCCATCCCCAAATGTGTTAATAATGTGACAAAAACTAAATTTGGATGTATTTTAATAATATTTTTACAGTATTCAACATGTTCCCGATTTTATCATGTAATATTAACTTTAATATCACAAGTAAGAATAATGCAAAAATCCTCAAAAAGAAGACAAATAGCTGATAACAGTTACTACATAAGTTAATAATGAACAGTTAACTATCCATAGGTGTCCACAGAATGACTGTTTTGCAGCTTTAGCAACAGCTACAGTACATGTGTTTTCAGCCCACAGAGTAACTGCAGATTTCTATGAAGGGGACAAAACACATGCAAATGTCTGTGAAGATTCTCAGTCATCCAGGTCATAGTTATCCAAAGAAGGTTAAAGTCAAGGGCAACTGGACTTGGTTGAGGGAACACATGCAATGCAAACCAGATAGACCTTCAGATAGACCTTAATTAGGAAAGTGTTGAAGTGGCGTAAGTGAGCGGTCGTCCACTAACCGGAAGGTTGGGAACCACAAATTGCTCCTGGTGACTGTGCCATTAGTGTGGAAGTGTATTGGTGGCGCACTGGATAAGACACAGGCCTTTGGTGTAAGAGACCTGGGTTCAACTCTCCACTGTGACCTATCCACCATTGTGTCCCTGAGCAAGATCCTAACCCCTGGTTGCTCCAGAGTTGTGTGACCTCTGACAACTATAGCAATTGTCAGTTAACAAATATTTATTAACATTTAGGCTACCTCTCTTCCACTCTGTAGGACAAGAGCCTGCAGTACTTCTAGGCAAAAACATAAAATAAAAAGTGTGCAACGTGTTTCAGCATCATCAAGGTAACGTGATAAAGTGGCAAAGTGCTGTCCCATTCCTGTTTACAGCATTTTGAGCCCTTGCAGCCTCTTGAACTCAATCACTTTCCAAGTGATGTCAGTAAAGTCTGTGAGGGTTCAGGGCTTAGGGGGGACATTGGGATTGGGCCTTTGTCTCTATGAGTTAGCCCTGTGATGAACTAGCAATTTGACAGCTGGGATTGGGTCCAGCCCCCTCGTGACCCTGCACAGAGTTAACTATACTACTAACCACGGCTGCTGTAGTGCTAACTCAAAAATATTATTCTGATTACATAGTATTTAAACCAAATAATAACACAAATGAGAATATGAAAAAGAACAGTTAAATGATAATACTATACTATATTAATTTACTGTGGTAGAGAAATTTTGAATTAAATAACATTTTATCTTGATTATAATATATGAAAACACTGAGCCCATTGATCTACCAGTCAATATTATATCTGAATGAAACTTTTCACAGGTATTATGCATCATAAAAGGAAAATGAGGGGTTGGGACATGGAAAATGTTCAACATTTTTTTTTCCATTACGTTGAGTGGCAGATGGATAGATAGATACATACACGCACACAATGATGGATAAATAGCTTATAAACATGTAGTAAAATATATATATATAAACTGCAATGTGTACAGGTAAGAACAGGTAGGTATGAAGATTATACTGATATGTAAACAGGTTGTAAAAAGCAGGTAAGTAAGCAGGTGGAGCCAATTCAGTAGAATATGTATGTACAATAAGTACAGTATTAGTGTGGCAGTAATATAAAGTGACCAAATCAAAATGGTGCAAGGAAAGTGTCATTGTGACGAGTTTAAGAGCTCAAGAGTTCAACAGTCTTATGGCTTGCGGGATGAAGCTGTGGTACCGTCTGCCAACAATTAGTTAAGTTAACCCACATTTGAAGAACATGGCCCAGGAGGAGTAGCTGTTGCCCTGGTTAATGACTAAACAAATAGGCAAATCAACAATTATTTCCCACCTACTAATTACATAAGCTAATATTAATCAAAGTGAAGAACCCCTGTACACTATCTCACTGGCTACATTCAGCGCCGCCACTCGCTTCCCAGAAAAAAATGAAGACAATAATTTTTAATCCAATTTAGGTTGATTCGGTAACATATATCCGGATCAGTGTCCTTCAATCGCTCTCATCCTCAGCGTCATACGTGTATTCAGTTATGTACCGACATTATTCTGTATTTCTCAGTATTTTGATAGTATTATAGAATCCATTACTGCATTGTGAAGTTTTATCAAGGTTTGTAACACATTCTTGCAAACATCATGTGTTGCAAAACAGGAGATTGAGAGCAGAGGAACAGAGGGATTGCAGAGGATCCTACAAAGGGGAAATACTAACCATTGCGTAAAGTAAGGGAAACTATGGGAAAATTCATAGTTCCACATTTTTAAAGTTTCACATCCAGCTCTGCAGTGACTCCTCAGTGACAAGAAGCAAGACAGGAAAATATTTGTTGAGATGGTGTTTATTAGAGAAAAGAGAAGAGGAGGGGTGGTGATTTCAGTACTAACAGCTTCTGTATGTCTATTAATTTCTCCAGCTCTAAACATGCTGCTGCTGCTCCTTCTGCTACTGTCGTCAGTGAGTCACACCCGATATCCTACTCTTAGAAGAAATTAGGAAAAGATTCTGCACTTGCTGACGTTAGACTGAGGTCTATTCCCTTGTAAATCTGCTCTATACAACATCAGTGTTTTTATACATGTGTGACTACAGGGTGATGGCCAGGCTCAGCAAGTGTCTGGCCAGAGGAAGAATGGCTCATGTGTTTGTGCGGTGGACTCCAACCTGTGGACGTTCCCTGCTGTGAAGTTCGAGTCCGTGCTGCAGCAGGTTCAGTCCTGTGAAGGATCTTTGAACAACCTGCAGGAACAGGTGAGAAATAAGGTCGACCAGCATCATTTTACATCGGTGAGAGTGGTACCTAATTCAGACTGGGTCCAGTCCAATTACACCTCTGACTTGATTGATTATATGAATACAGTGCTGCTCAGCCATACAATGCAGGTTAGAAGCATTTACTCTAATGTGACATTTTGATTGGATACAACTGATTATTATGATTACTTTCAGCATTTTAGACTCTTGCGAGTCTTGTGACTATGTGAAGGTACAGTCCCCAAAGAAAATATGAACTTGAACCTGGAATCCTGAAAACACATTCAGTTTTCAAAAAACAGCAGCACAACAACAGCATTTTCTGTCTGTGTTAACTGCAGGTGACGTTATCCAGCCAGCGTCTCCCTCAGATCCAGGCCCTGGTTAAGAACATGACGGCCCGGCTGGAGCCTCACCAGTACCTTCACGACCAGGGTCTGTACTCAGTCTTGTCTCTGCGCCTGCTGGGCCAGGAGCTCAGCCAGTTGGAGACAGATGTTGGTGTCATCCACAAGCAGCTAAACAACGGCCAAACACAGAAACTCTCCAAAGAGGTACAGTAAAACATCCACTGAAGACACAACAATTTCGTGGAGTAATAGCCTACATAAAGTCAAAATTTATTAAACTCTGAAGAATGATATATTAGTTTTTTTCAATTGCTAACCTGCATTGGTCAAAACTGAAGTCACATTGTCAAAAAACACTCTTCACTCACACAGTCAGCAAAACGTATGTGTATGTATGTATGTGGACCAAACTGTGAATCCTTTTTCATTTCTTTCACACAAAATCCATTCAATGACCACTTTCTCCTAAATCAATGAACTCTTTTCTCATTACTAATTTACCTGCAAAACACTATATCTGCAGCACATTTTTCTGATGCTAACACACTTTGTCCAAAACTGTTAAAAACACATTCAAAAACAGAATGATTGGAAATGTTCTGCATTTTGGCAGTAACTGAACAGATGTATATAGAAAATCTTAGCAGAACATTACGAACATGTTTACGTCTATGTGTGTAGAGAAATATGTGTAGTGTTTAGAATATGGTTTTACTTTAAAACTGCAAGCTGCATGTAAAGCAGGACATGTACTTGTATTTTAGCAGAATTGGTTCAAGGTGTTGGTGCATCAATTACAGGTTGTGGTCATTGTGTCTCAGGTACCAGTTTTACTGTATAAACAACTGAGAAACTGTGTTGCAGCACTGACATTTCAGGAACTTTACCGTAAGTAAATTATTGAATGCTATGATATAGAAAAAAATAAAGGATATTGAGGCCAATTTCTGAATTTCTGATTCGTTCTTGTTAGATATACTATAGTACAGTCAATAAAGTGAAAATATGTTGTTTTTACAGTTTTTCTCAGTTGCTTTGGTACATTTCTAGAATTATCCTTACAGTAACACTTGCACAACTATTTATATTGGTAAACTATGCTTGGATGACAATGATTGAAAATGCACAAGGCTGCACTTTTTCAGTATGGCATAGATCACTTTCAACAGTATTGAGTTATACATTGCAAGAAATTGGATTGGGATAGGATTCACAGTTACACATTTACTGTATGCACTGTAATTTGTTGACAGAGCATGTCATTGTGATGGAGAGAAAATAAACTATTAGACTATTTTACAGCACTGCATAGCATGACAGAAACAATTACAAAATAAGAAATGGAAACATGGAAACACCCCTCAGGTTGATGTTCCTATCTAGTGGGCCACAGATACATATTCACATCACAACAGATATCTTCATCAATTTACTGTAGGACACATTTACAAAAAAAAGTCTAATAGACACATGTAGAAAAAACATTTTGCAGATTACGTGTTCAACTATTTTGCATGTAGTGACTTAGGCAATGCACTTTTGAGTAGATGTTTTGTTGGGTAAGACTATTCAACAGAGAACCAGTATAATACATTGTGATCAACATGGTATACAGTAAGGAATTGATATTGTCGGAAACAGCAGACAATTGTGCATAATCATTTGCATAAATGTGTCAAAGCAATTAGCAATTTCTCAAAAGCCTGAGAAATTGCTATGTGCACAAGTGACTAGATGATGTGGAGGTTGAACAAGTAGAATTTCAATTCTGATCTGAGAAATGTACCAAAAGTGAGAACAACTGTATTCTATATGAAATACTGATTTATATTAAAAAAACGTTTTGAAGATAAAAGTTCCTCAAATTTTTGTAATGCTTCCTGTTGTTAGTGTTTTGTAAGTCAGTGTGTTATAAGTGACAATGAATGCTTTCTAAGTGAGAATTGTTGCCAGTGTTTTGGTTGAACGAGTTTATTTTGAAACTTGTATGAAGAGTTTTGGTGGTTTGAGTGACTTTTAGAGGTGAGATTAACTGTTTGGCCAAGATGCATGTTGGTAATGCAGACTGTGTGAAAAGTTTTGAAAAAGTGGCTTCAGTTTTGACCATTGCATCTCAGTAATTGAAAAAACTAACTTTGCTCATAATAACATGTCACAGGAATACCGCAGATATGAAAGAATGATAATATGAAGAAACATACCTGAGTTATTTGAAATGTTTTTAAGATAAATATGGCTTACCGTGTATATATGTGTCTATAGCTGTCTGGATACATTGTTGTAAATATGTGTGTGTGTGTTTGTGTGTGTTAGGTGGGTAAATTGCGTGCAGATGTAGACAAGATGCAAATGTCAAACACATTAAACATGAAGACAGTCAAAGAGAAACTGCGCTACCTGAAGAACACCGCTGAGTCCTGCAAGTCAATCCCCAAAGACTTCAGAGGTAAGTATGGTGCTGTGTGTGTGTGTGTGTGTGTGTGTGTAAGAGAGCACTCACTCAGTCATTGCAATAACTATGAAGAACCAGGAGGACTCTGTGGGAAAATGTGCATTACCTGCATTAAAATTAAGTAAGTTGGCCTCTGACCATGTTCGATTGTGCAGCACAGTACGAAAGGCATTTTAAGAAAGACGTCAGTGAAAAATTGCAATCGATTTGGCCTTATTTGTCAGTAAAACAACTGGACAGTCCAAATATTGTTGAACCAGAATCCCGGGATTTTAAACTCAGTTCCAACTGATTGTAAATGTAAGTTTGTTTCAACAGATGCATCTAGTTGTCCAAGGAACCTGACACATTTTTTTTAAACTGTGGTTCTCAAACTATGGGGTAGCATTTTATGGAGGAGAACTGGAAAGAAATTGATGATTGATGATTGATGATGTTAATTTTGCATTCAAAATCGCAGTGTAATAGATGACAACACACACGCTGCTTGAATCAGAGCAACTTACTCTTTCCAGTAATAGTGATGTCTCTGAATAAAACATCCATGATTCTGCTTAGAAATCATAAGAATGCTCCTTAAGATTTTGTCTTACAATCACCATGTGTAGATTGATCCCTTAACATGAACAGTGCCACTTACATGCCAACATTTCCGGATAGCCCTGGTATATTCTGAAAATCCCAATGTATGGAATGCAATATGTGGAGTGAAACTTAATAATATACAGTTCCAAGTGGATTACTTGCATATTACAGTTTTTTCTGATTGCTTAAGCACATTTTTTGTAACTATTGGCTATTTTTGCAAAACTCTACACACAAATAAGAAAACCTTTCACCCAATTATCAAAACATTGTAGTTCTCTTGCAAAAGCGAACACAGCTAGATTAACTCTTCACACCTTCGTAAAAATGGTGTTTTCGTATCAAACAGTAAACACAAGCCATCATCTACTAAGCACGCAATGTGCCAACTACACACTGATGGTATGAATACAAAACACATCTGGCTTTTGCTTTCTCTGTGTACAGATGTCAATTTGAGGTCATACGTTTGTCATAGTTGTAGTGAACAACAGTGTGGATTTGTGCATTTTTCATGGAATAAATGTGGAGCTACCCTAAATTCCTTTCTCCTCCCCAGAGAAGATGGGGAGGGGTCAAAGTTGCTTTCTCTAAGTGCTAGCCCGACCATAAAACTGGTACCATTTTGATTCCGAAGCTGATAACGCGGGGCCTGACTGTTAAACTGACAAAGGGACACGAGCCAGCCATTGGCATCTCCCTGAACAGCCTATCAAAACTTACCCCACCACACACGTTTCCGTGGAAACTGACCTTATTCTTTGTTTATTACCACATCAAAAGGATACTCCTTGTCTCACCTAAGTGTGACATGTTCCAGACACTGAACTTTGGATGACAAAGGACTGCATTCTCCAAAAGACTCAAAGCATCTAATTAAATTTAATTAAATCTTTAGTTACCTGAATACGTTTGCCTCTATTTGAGTAGTTATGTTAACTGTCGTTGCTATCTGTTGTTGATATTAGTGCTGAAAAGAAGTTACTTGTGCAATGTTTTTATTTTCAGCAAGACACTCCTTCATCTGATGTAATCAATGCTTGTTCATAATACTTTCTTACAAAATCCCTTTAGAAATGATGACAAAGAAATGTTTTACTATACTCTTAATCGCCAGCTTGAATTTAAGGATGAATCAACAAATTCCCCAGTTCCTAAGGAGAGACGATCTTTGATTTAATCCAAGCTTTCCTCATGTAACCTGAGCTCCCCCAAGTGGACGAAATAAGTATTACATGCCCTCGTCGGAAATGCGGTTAAATGTATAAAAATCCTGACCAATAATGTGACAATTTACCAAATGCTTAGAACAGTACAACCGTTCAACCATTGAGGTTCGATTGTGGAAAATATTTGATTATAATACGTGCAAATAGATTTCTTTTCTTTAGACATTAAGTTTGGAAAGGCAGTCCCTTGGGAAACCTGAGACGCCCCCTGGGGAACCACGCCCCAGGCAACAAAAGAGCGACACGCGACCTGCTCGCGAGTCTCTTCACTCTTCGCTCTTGTCTCTTCCCTCTTCTCGCTCTTCCACTCTGGCCCCTGGATGCTTCGGCACGCGCGTGGCGTGCCTCGCCAGACAACACGCCCAGACTCGGCCAGCGAAACAAACAGGCCTTTGTTCGCCTGAAGCTACACACCTGAAGTGCCGAGACATCGATCTGCCTTCAGTCTGTTTTATTTTCTTTATTTCTTTTGTTTGTTAAAGTTATGAGTCCGTTAAGTTACACTGGACTAATTCAGGAACGACCAAGTTCCATTTTAAGCCTTTTCGTCGAGCCAACTTCACAGAGGTCAGACCAAGCCACATGGTCTCGCCAGCTACAACCAAGGAAACCTGCAAACAGCCGAATTGCCAGACGGAGGAGGCGTTTTCAATCAGACACGGAGAACCCCGAAGAATCCCTAGCAAAAAGCCAGGATCGGGCAGCTAGCGTGGGACCCGTGCAACAGGCCAAAAGCAGGCTGTCGACAAGCAGTAAGACTTAACACACGTCCTGTGATCAGATGTCCATTTTAACTCCTAAACTATAGCATTAGTTTACTTTCATTAGCTCTTCTATGCCGTATGAGTCGAATGCTTCCCACAATCGAACCTCCAGGCTCATTGTTCAGCAAATGTTTATGTTCCCTGTATCCAACCATCTTTTATCACCTTAGTTAGAGAATAAATTCACTGTAATATAATCAAGAGCTGTGTGTGTTGCCTATTTATAGTTCCTGCCAAGAGAATTGACCCTTTAGATATGAGACTGACTGACTGATTTAAGATAATTGTGCGATTATTAACTAACTGATCACTAGTAATAATTGTATAATTATTCAAAACTACCTAGAGGTCCGGAGACTCTAGGATTATAACAACTCCGGTGGTGCCCTTTACGAGGAAATTCTGATTTTATGAATAATAATTCATAATTGGGTATCAATTCTCATAAATTTATTAAAATGCATAACTAATAAATTTAGGTCCACTACATAATGGTGCCCCGTGTGAGGCCTTGTGACATACTATAATAGACTATACACACAGTCCTGATGCAGAGAAGTTATTAAGAGTCCCAGAAAAAAATTCCCTCCAAAATTTTGCCACTGAAATAATTATCGCCCAGTAAGTTGCTCCCTAGAAACTCTTCTGTCTTCCCTCTTAACTTAACGTTAGTGATGAAAGTGTGTGTGAGTTTTGACCATGTTCTTTGTTGTGAAATGAAATGCTTTGTGCAACTTGTTTGGCCGCCGGGCCATTGTTCTTTGTTGTTCAGTACAGAGCTGTAGTGAGCTGAGCTATGAGGACCGAGCTAATGTTAAACTGAATGCATTCCTGTAACGTTGCCATATGAGAAATCTGAGCTAAAGCTACACACAATCTCCGCTGACGAGTGGATGAAATGCCCTTTTGGTTGAGAGAAACTTAACCGATATTGATCATTTTAAGGCCTAATAAGAGGCAGACAGATTACAGTTGCGCTGTGCCAATGTGATTTGTTTGCTGCTATAAATAACAGTCTGACGCGCTGAGCCGTGGATTGTTATGTCATATGCAAAACTCCGGTATCCTGTTGGAATTAGCTACTTCAACAAATACAGCTGCCCGGCAGTGGAGTCACAGGCGTGAAGACGCCGAGTTTAGCCTGTAGCGTTGTACCTACCGAGCTAAGTTAACGCTAAATCGAAGCTTGAAAGCAAGCTGAGTCATTGAAACAAAGGAGCGAGTCCTTCCCCCATTTTGAGCGGGACTGTGTCCGTCAGTGTTCTGATTTACTGCCGTTGCTGCAACGACGGTTTGCTAACTGCGTTAGCCTGAAGCTAACAGCTGTTGGGTCCGAGGACCAGAGAGGAAGCTGCTTCTTCTTCTACATTGAGAAATAGGCCGCGCCCGAGGCGGAGCCACAGCTCCCCTACTGGCTGGCGGAATAAATTGCATGCTCTGCATTAAATCGACTTCAGCGTCATCAGTGACAGAGATGAGCGTTTGAATCGAGTGAATTAAACCAGACTTTGGTGATAGATCTTGTTAACTTGAGACACATAAACCATTGTGTCGACTCTCAGATTAAATTAATAAGGAGTGTTACTCCTTAAGTGTAGGATAGAGCACAGGCTCTCCTTTTTCCTTGAATAACTTTTAAAGATCTATTGGGTGTTTGCTTGTAACAAGGTACTGAGCCAGTTTAGCACCCTAACCTAGGATTACACTGAGTAGTTCTATTAATTTTGATGCAATCTTTTATTCAAAGATTCGCTTTTCTAATTTTGATCCAGCTGTATTTGAATAAAAAGCTTTATTCTCATTACTGCTGCAATATCCCTGATTTTGACTTTGTCATTTTGAAGCCTTTTCTGTAGTGCTATTTTTGATCCTTGCAGGAATAAGATAAATACAGAATAACATCTTGATTTGAATTTTTGTTAACCTTTTGTTGTTTGGACTGATTGGAATTCTGAAACCTACATTAAGCTTGATAAGTTGAATTGATAGCTTTCCAACTAGGCTTTCTTTAATCCTTGTTCATCATAAATGTAATTTGGACTCTGACTTTTATAGCAATTGGAATTTTGATAACTTGATAATTACCAAAGGGTAATTAAAAAAACCTTCAGTCTAATCAGCTTTGATTTTTTTTTTTTTTAAATCCACTTTAATCAGCCTGGGATTTTTGTTAATGTAACTTTGAACTTTTAGAAATTTAATAATTTTAATCTCAAAATTTTAATTTTCCGATTTTGAACTCTGATTCTAAAATTTAATTTTTCTCAAACAATTTTTCCAACTTTGACTTTGATCATTAAGGACTTTGAGCTTTGATTGTCAAGCTAGTTGTAACATGAACTTTGATTTGATCTATAGCATTTAACTTTAATCCCAAGTGTGATTTAATTTCTTTTCCTATTTTTGCCTTCACCCT